ATTCAGAAAGAGACCTCGGCCGGTAAGCAGTTCTGCGCCTATAAATTGGATCTGGCTAAAGCATATGACCGAGTCGATTGGGACTTTCTGAGAGGTGCTCTAACTAAGGTTGGGTTCTGCTCAACATGGGTGGAATGGGTTATGGCTTGTGTTACCACCGTCAAATACTCGGTATCTTTTAATGGGAACCTGCTGGAACCGTTCTCGCCGAGTCGGGGCCTGAGGCAGGGCGACCCTTTGTCGCCGTATCTGTTTTTGTTCGTGGCAGATGGGCTCTCCACTATTCTGAGTCAAGATGTGCAGGCAGGACGGCTGGAAGAACTGAAAGTCTGCCGGCGTGCTCCAGGGGTTTCTCACCTCCTATTTGCAGATGACAGTCTTTTGTTTTTTAGAGCATGCCCTCAACAAGCCTCAGTTGTCCGACAAGCGCTTGCCCTGTACCAGCGGTGTACTGGACAGCTTTTAAGCTCGTCAAAATGCTCCCTGCTGGCCAGCGCCCATTGCCCGACAGATGTGTTGGAGGACATTAAAATTGTCTTGCAAGTAGAAACATCAACTTTTGAGAGCAAGTATCTGGGTTTGCCAACTCCGGAGGGTAGGATGTCAGCTGAGAGGTTTAAAGCTATCAAGGAACGACTGGTGAAGAGGTTAAACAGCTGGGTCGAGAAGTTTATGTCGTTGGGTGCGAAAGACACTCTCATTAAATCAGTTGCGCAGGCCATCCCAACTTATGTGTTGGGTCTCTTCCGGTTGCCGGTTTCGACCTGCGAGGCCTACACCAAATTGATAAGAGACTTCTGGTGGGGAGATGAGGAGAACAAACGCAAGATTCACTGGACAGCCTGGGATATCATTACTCGCCCTAAAGGTTTGGGTGGGTTGGGCTTTAGAGACCTCAAACTCTTTAACCAGGCCTTGCTGGGGAAACAGGCATGGAGGCTAATTCAATTCCCTGGCAGCTTATGTGCGCGTATTCTTAAGGCCAAGTATTTTCCCAACTGTGAATTAGTGGATGCAGTTTTCCCTGGTGATACCTCGCCTACATGGAAAGGTATAGAATATGGATTGGAGCTTCTGAAAAAAGGCCTAGTTTGGCGCATTTGTGATGGGAATAAGGTTAAGATTTGGAGAGATCAATGGGTTCAGAGGGAATCGTCTTTTAACCTAATTGGGAAGAAAAATCGCTGCCGTCTCCGTTGGGTATCCCAACTGATAAGACAGGAGGACAAGAGCTGGAACGAAGATCTGATCAGGCATGTGTGCCACCCTATTGATGCGGCGGAAATCCTAAAGATTAAGCTCCCACAATTTCCTGCTGAAGATTTTCTCGCCTGGCATTTCGGGAAGTCGGGAGTCTACACTGTGCGAAGTGGTTATCGTTTAGCTATGAAAGCCCAGCTAGGCAATGACGCGAGCTCATCCAGTAACTCTCTAAATGGTGAACGTTGCATATGGCGCGACTTTTGGAAGATCCCAGCACCGCCTAAGGTGAAGATTTTTGCCTGGCGATTGGCTACGAACGGATTAGCTACTCAGGAGAACCGGAGGAAGAGCAAATTGGTGATAGATGATACGTGCCGCATCAGTGGTTCTGAACAGGAAAATGCATTCCACGCCGTGGTATCTTGTCCTAAGTCTGTGGCTCTACGACAGGAGATCGGCCAGACCTGGAACACGCCTGATGACACCTTGCTTCGGTATGATGGACCGGATTGGTTGCTGCTGCTCCTCCTGGACAAATTGAGTGGGGAGGATAGAGTTAAATTTCTTCTGGTCCTGTGGCGTTCCTGGCATTTGAGGAATGATTCGTTGTTTGGGCAGGGTAAGGCGTCAGTTCGGAGCTCGGTCCTGTTTCTTCAAAGTTTCTGGGAAACTCTTTCCCAAATTAAGGTTGGTGGTGCAGTGGATGTGAAGGGGAAATCTCCTGTGGGGGTGCATAATAAGTTGATCTGTTCCATTGAAAGATATGGATTTTGATTTAATGAAGAATCGATGGAAGGCGCCACCGGTGGGATGGGTTAAAATAAATGTTGATGGGGAGAAGCGGGGGCTGGCGTTGTTATCAGGGACCATCTGGGGAGTGTCCTGCTATCTTCTTGGAAAGAGGAGGCAGAAGCAACTGCGTGTATGGAAGGGATCCGACTCGCGGCGGAATGGGTAAAGCTTCCAGCTATTCTGGAGACCGACTACGCCAATATTGGTCTCGCCTTGGAAACTATGGCGACCGATAGATCCTCGCTTTGGCATATTATGCGGGATGTTAAAAGTGCTTTCGCCCTGTTACCGGGGGTTCAGATTAGTAGGGTTAAAAGGGGAGCTAATGGAGTTGCGCACAGCCTAGCTCCAGAGTGTGTGTCTGAGCTTATTGCTCTAGATTGTACTTGTCCCTCTCATAATAGTTAATAAAGCTCCCTTTTCCCTCGCAAAAAAGAAAACAGACAAAGGCCAACACAGTCCATCTCAACATTTCCATTAATCATTTTGGCTTTGGAAGTCATACCTTTGGTTTTCTCTCGGCATTATACCTTTAGTTTAGTAGTAAAACTTTGCCCAAAAAAAGAAGTCAACGCTTGCTAGCTAGCTATAGCAATTAATTGATCAAATATTTGGTATAGATAGATGCTATTGTCATATTTTTCCTACTACAATCAAACATAACATATTAGCCAATCAATTAAGTTAATATACTAAAGCATTGGCCCGTTAATAACTTGATAACAGATTACAAGATCTTAGGCCGGTGCAGGTGTGTACCTATGTTGATCTATCTTTATATCTACTATTATAAAAATTAAAGATATTTTTGTTAGTATTTTTGTAAGTCATTCTTGTATGATTTGATTTTTAAGTTTGTTCGTTTTTGAAAATACATATATGTATTTGAGTAAGTTTTTAAGTTCGTTCGCTTTTAGAAATACAGTAAAATTGATATAAGAAATATCTTTAAAAAACTTGCATACTAACTTAAGATGATCGGACTCCTAATTACAGCTCATGATTTTCTAAAAAAATATATATATCCGAGCGAATTCCTACAGTGAATTTCACCTTAACTAAATCGTATAACAATAATAAGATTAAAATATTCTTCACCTGTTGCAACGCACGGGCATTTTTTCTAGTATATAAAAAATGTCGGATTTCTATCATTGTCTTAGAAATATTATAACATATTTTGGTTTAAGCTTAGTAGTTTTTTTTTAAAGAAAAAGAGCACAAAACAAGGGCTATTATATGTACTAATATTTGACTAGGCGGCAAAAGAATACTACTTGTAGAACAATTAATACGTCCTACGAAATGAGCATAACTTAACAGGTTAGGTTACTTGTGGTGGAACTAGTCCACCCAAGTTCAAAATCTAGATTTGACATGGGTGTTCGTATTTACGTCCATAGTGACTTCGTTAATCTTAAAATATGACTACCTAGTCTTGCCTTATTTTTTTTGACCGGGGAAGTGGTTATAGCCTTATAGGTGATGACTTTTTTAATCTTAAGATATGACGGCACAATCTTTCAGAGGTAGTCATATGGGTAACGTATCGATGTCCGTAGTGACTTTGTCAATCTCAAAATATGATGGCCTGGTTTTTTGGAGATGCTCATAGGAATAAGATGTACGTCTGTTCATAGAGGCGAGGGTAAGTGTATCGTCTGCGTTTATACGGTGTTTCTTTTATAAAAAAAAACAGTACGCTCTACTCCCTAGTCCCTACCCCGAATAGGCCGGTTATGTAATCTGATTAATTGGTAGTACAAAAAAACTTTCCTTCTTAAGCGTTGACACCAAAACATATAAGCATATATATATATACTGAATTCAAGTAGTACTATGAGAATAAGTTAATTAAGACCTTGGCCATTGTAAGCTTCCTAGCTGTATTAGTTTACGCTTTTAGAACCGATCAACTCACGCTAACCAAGCTGCGATTGTTGGATCTGCGATTGTTTTAGATTTCATACTGCCACTTGTCGTTAGCAACTGGAAATATATATTGCATTATCTCATGATTTGACATAGCGTGGACTTTGCTGCATTCAACTGAGGCCCTGTTTAGTTAAAAAAAAAACATTTCACCCATCACATCGAATGTTTAGACACATGCATAGAGTATTAAATGTGGAAAAAAAAAAGCCAATTACACAGTTTGCGTGTAAATTGCGAGACGAATCTTTTAAGCCTAATTGTGACATGATTTGACAATGTGGTGCTACAGTAAATATTTGCTAATGACAGATTAATTATGCTTAATAAAATCGTCTTGCAGTTTTTTGGTGAAATTTGTAATTTATTTTGTTATTAGACAACGTTTAATATTTTAAATGTGTGACCGTATATCTGATGTGACACCTCAAAACAAATTTTTTTTTGCCAACTAAACCGGGTATGAGCATTTACAGACTATTATGCTACCAAGAATTGCCAGTTGCTGAATTTTGTTTTGTTTGATGGTCGAAGTGCCAAAAAATCTCATGCTGCTCGCACGTTGCCAAATAATTTTGTAGTGTTTAACATGAAAGATTAGTTGTTTTATGTCATCTCAGTTATTTTTTGTTGGTTCATAGCACTGACGAAAGATTGTTACTCAAGTATTAAAAGAGGCTGCATGTATAACACTGTTCTATCATTGGGTGGCCGCCGGGCTGGCAAGAACAAGCCGGCTGATGTGGTTGCCATATGTGGAGTAAATTAATTTAAGTGTGCACTTCAGAGTGATTTTCTTTTGTCATTAGCAGATCTAGCGATTAACAAACACTGCAAACTACAGCTAGTACACCTTTCTTTTGACTGCTTGGTGTGCATTTGATCAATGGATTTATTCAGCAACTGTATAATTTCTGTTGAAGTACATGTCAGAGTTCATAATATACGAACTGAAGTGTTGACGATTAAATTACTAAGAGCCTGGCTAGCTTGGGCAATTTGAAAAGATCGTAACAATAGGGTGTTCAATAGCCAGTGCAGAAGTTTGGGCGAGGTGGCTCGCGACGCAGCGAAAGAGATATAGACCATGTGATTTTTCCCCCATCACATCGAAAGATGAATTGAGTAGCATTTCCAACAAGCATATGCATGCATGCAGTTCTTGAACACTATTGGCTAGTGCATCATGTACATGTGTTCATCTCACATTCTTCACTAATTATTAATTACTACACGTCTTGCTGCACAACCGCTACCTTGGTGTCGCCCTCGCCGCCGGAGTCGCCGTCCGCGGCGGCGACGGCGGCGCGGCAGAGCGGGCATGTGGCGTGCGACCGGAACCACTTGTCGACGCACTCGGCGTGGAAGCGGTGCCCGCACCTGGGCAGGAGACGGCCGGTGTCGCCGTCCCTGAGCTCGCCTATGCACACCGCGCACTCCTCCGCCTTGGCGCCGCCGTCCGCCGCCGCCGACGCGCCGTGCACGTACACCGGCAGCGCCATGAGGTCCTCTCTCCCCAGGCCGCCGCCCGCCCGAGGCGACGCGCACGGCGAGCTCCCGGCGGAGGACGACTCTCCGTCCGCATCGGCGGCGGCGGAGGCCGCCGCGCCGCCGGCTCGATCTCTACCCCCGAAGAAGAAGAGCCGCCAGACGATGACGGCGACGAAGAGCACCGCCACCACGACGTTGCCGGCGATGGCCACCTTCATGGCGGCCGGCCCGTGCAGGCCCCGCCGCGGCAAATGCGGCGCCTGAGTAGCCGCGGCGCCGGCCGCCGCAGGTGGCGGCGGCGCCGCGGTGTCCGACGACGTGACGAGGCATCGCCTGGCCATTGATCGATGCTGCGCTATTGTACCTTGTCACTTCCGGCGATGAACGCGTTGGATGCACAACTTTTAATTGTCAACAAGAAGAAGGAGATTGATGTGGTATATGTTCATCTGGATCCGGTGGCGACTGGCGAGGAGCACGAGCATGCACATCGCGATCACCGTTGGAGAAATAAACGCTCTTCAAAAGTTGTTAGTATTTTTTTTAGAGTCAAAGGAGGTTTGGTTTTAGTTAAATAAACGTCGCTGTGTGAATGTATCTTATTTACCCCATTTTAATACTCCCTCCGTCTCTAAATATTTGGCGTCGTTAACTTTTTTAAACATGTTTAACCGTTCATCTTATTAAAATCAACGGCGTCAAATATTTAGAAACGGATGGAGTAGAAGAATAGAAAAATAAAACACAAAGATGCATATATAAGAGTGATTACAGTTTAGACGACGATCGATCTCTGATTACCAAAATTTTAATTTGTACTACCGTGTGCATTCAACTTTTCACTTTGGACTAAATAAATGTTATCTTTGTGTTACGGTGGACCACCCCAACTCTCATATATATCCACCCACATCTAGCTAGCTCATCATATATCAAAGATGGGGTCTATATTCAACTTTATGAGTTCATCGACGTGCAATAGCTGATATAATCGAGGTCATTGATATACTTGAAAAGAAGATTGAGGTAGTCCAAAGTGCAAAAATAGGTAAATTACCTAGTTTAAAATAAAAAAATATTAATTAAGAAATGGTTCAAAACGAAACTTCGGTAACAATAAAGTAACCCCACCCTCCAATTTACTCTGGATGTAATAGAACTATAAACACATGGGCTAAATAAACCATCATTCCGATAGTTTTCTTGTGTTTTTTATTTATACCATTAATTTGAGGTGTTAGTGTACTCAAATCCTATGTTTTTCCTATCTCCGTATTAAAAACCTAATGTTTCCAAGGAGCCATGAATTGAGCCTAGAGTTCACTTTTAGACCGGCCAAATGGAGTATAAGATTAGCCTCCAAACCGAAGGCCCGGCTGATTTGATGCTTATATTGTATAGGGGCATGCGGGCCGTAGGGCTTTGACGGAATTTAACTAGGACTATGAATTTAAATTAGGAGTAAAATATACACTGATAGTCATTAAGATAGTAACATGATTAAGCCCCTTAATCATTAACACCATAAATATCCAAAGGTACCAGATAGAGCTTTTGGATGATGACATGGACCGCGAGATACAACCGGGGAGTGGCTCCCCTCCCCGCTCCCACACAGATAATCCTTACGAGGTCTTCATCGCCGCTTAAAACAATATTTACACTTTATATTAGTATATCAACTTATATCTACTTATTCTTGATAAAAGTACAAGAGTATTAAACTTGTACCCCTATGAGAATCACCGCGGGGGGTGGACACGAGGAATATAGGACCATCCCTGCCCCCGCGAAAACCGATGGGGACACGTCTCTTATCATTTAGAGGTTCCCATGGAGAACCAATTCTAACCAATTCTAATCATTCCCGTCTCCAAATACTACCTCCGTCCCATAAAAATTGCATTTCTAGCTAATTTAGGATAAAATAGTAGGATTAAAAAATGACCACAATAACCTTATTTAATGAACCCACTGCATGCACACATTCCATATATACAAATGATTAAAAGGAAGTTTGAGAGAATTAACCCATATAATTAGCATACTTAATAAAATTACAAGCATTAGCAGCCCAAATTATGTGGGATGGAAGGAAACTTATATAGATGAATCAATTGGTTGGGCCCCACATGGCTAGAAATACAATTTTTGTGGGACAAAGCCTTGGAGCTAGAAATACAATTTTTATGGGACGAAGGGAGTAAGTGAATTTCCCTAAGTGAAACGGGAAACAGGGCCCATTACCATCTCTAGCTGCTACTTAGATAAATCCCTCATCGCCAATATATTATACTCTTAAATTAGTATGAGAGGTAGTATGGCATTTCCTTTGTCATAAAATAAAGCAATCATCTAGATAGTTCTACGTATCTAGAGGTTATGTCTAATTCAGTGCTATGTTACTTTAAAAAGAGTAAATAGTCCAATTTATAGTCTGTTCTCTAAAAATTAATTGACTACTCTAGAATTACACATGCTCATAAGTTCATATATATTGATTATATCATGACAAATTTTATGAAACTGAAATATATACACATGTAAGTAAAGTATATTATCTTGTCCTAAAATATACCCTCCGTCCGTCCGATACACTAGGTTAGACGGAGGGAATATGATATATATGATCCAAATTAAATCGTGGAAGAACATACAGTCATGACTCATCTGTTCCTTTTCGTTTTTGTCACATACTTGCGCCTAATTCTCGAGTAAGACATGGGAAAAAAAATATTTGTCACATACTTTCCGTTTTTGTCACATACCAAAGAGGAAAAAAAAATATTTGACTAGCTAGTACCTACTGTGAAGAGAGTAAACACGGAACACACCGTCATTGACATGGTAAAACTGGCTATTCGCTCCAAGATAAGAGAAGGTAATTCCATTCCAACTTCCATGATAGGAATTTGAATTCCCCAACACAAAATATTTATCGCTTACGCCTAGGGGTGAAATCGGGTCGGGTTCGGTCGGATCTCACTCTTCCCATATCCTAACCCACATTTTATAATCGGAATCGGGTTGGATACGGATAGTATCGAATACGGATACAAGCACGGATAATATCGGACACAAATATGAGACGAATACGTACCTAGACGGATACGACCACTATCGGTTATGAATATCTTTTTGGATATCACGTCAAAGCAACGATCATCTATACTATATAGACAATAGCTATATATTCAACCATCCCCATATATCCATAATGTGACTATATTATTAGGGTTTAAGATATACGAGCAATACGACAAGGAACAATCGATTTTTAACTGGAAAAATTGAAAGTTTGGTTGAAATTGAAACGATGCGATGGAAAAGTTAGAAGTTTGTGTATGTAGTAAAGTTTTATATGATAGAAAATTTGGAAGTTTAAAAAAAAAGTTTGGAACTAAACTTGGCCTGACTTGTGATGAGCTGCTGACTTCCTGTTCCTGAAGAGATGAGGATCGGCTGGCAACAAAGGCATGTAGCGGCGGTGGCCACGGCTCAACGGATGCAGCAGGTGGCGGTGCGACGGGTGCTGCACCGCAGCACCGGTGGCGCTCGTAGTCTCGGCGTCATTGCTTAGTGGGATTAGTGAACACTGAACAGTAATTAGTATTTTTAGTTGTTGGGTTGTTAAGCATGGTTTACTGGTTGATGGTGGTCATCGTACTAGTAGGCCTTTTGGCCACTAGTGCTTTATTGGGCTAGGCATGTTATCCGGGTATTATCCGGATATTTAACCGGGTAATACCCGTATTTTTACCGGATAATCCGTATCCGTCGGATACCGTCCTCCCGAACCCGATCTCATATCCGATAGGAAATACCCGTATTCGAACCCGCTACCCGTAGAAACTTCCGGGTACCCGAATTTTTTACCCGAAATTGTCCCGAAATAATACGGCCGGGCGGGCGGGCGGGAAATACCCGCCCCGTTTTCACCATCAAGAACCGATGGAGACCGTGGTGGGCACTGCAGGCCGGTTGCAACCGGCTAGCTGCAGTCTACGATGCCAATTTGGCGAAATTTATTCGAGCAGGCGAGAGCAAAGTGCGCTGCCACTTGGGTGAATCTAGTGGCTATATATCTACAAACCGGTGGTTTTGTTTGTAATCCCTCGATTAGGACCTCCCAGCAAAATAATTGAAACGAGAAAATGACGTTTTTTATGCGAGAAAATGGTGCTCTTGCGCGGTCCTGCCCACTTGAGCCGTGTAAATATATTACGTTACAAATTCCACTTGCCCAAAAGATTACGATTATTTTTTTATAAGAATTAATAGTACTTGAGTTAGATATAATCAGTAAATAACTAAATATAATAAAAACGAGCCCACCTCTACACTGGGGCACCAAGGAAAATTAGACATACCCAACTTTGAGATTTACTAATTTCAGCTTTATATATGTAGCATTATTATTTTTTATTTAGAGATGAGTTAATGTCTTATAGGGCACATTCTAAACAACTAATCGGAGATATATATATTATTTGTGCCACACTTTCAATAGTATGGGTTGGCAAAATATTTTATATATCAACATTGTTTAGACAACTTTTTAAAAGTTATTTATCACCTTTTAATATTTAATTGGCAAAGCGTCCATGCATTACAACGAGAAACTAAAATTAAAATGTACATCATATGATTATGGTACAATTTCCATGATCTGAATTACTAGCATTTTGTATTTCATATTTCTTTGTAAAACCCTTACATATTTTGTAGAATGTTGCAAGAGCAACTACAGTAGAAAAAAAATTATCCTGGGTGCCGGCCCAGCTAGCCCGTTTGCCCCGCAGCCCAGACATGGAGACACCTGATCCTGAAATCAACGTGGGCCCCCAATGGCCCCAATCCGCTCGCGTGCGGAATAAGTTCACTTGGTGACCCTCAAAAGTGAACGAAATCTAATCCGTGACCCTAAACCACAAAACCGGATATCTTGACCCCCCAACTCTTAAAACCGGTGCAATTTGACTCCCTCGACGGTTTTGGAGGGCGGTTTCGCTGACGCCAGTCATCAAATAAATTAAAAAATAATGTGGGGCCCACCTGTCTGTGACTCCCCTCTTATATTCTCTTCGTTGGCAGCGGCGGCGACTGGCGGCAACGGGGCGCTGCGGAACCGGGGGCAGCGGTCGGTGGCTAGGATGGCAGCGGCTCGGCCACAGAGGCTCGCGGGTGGGAGGACGAGGGGAACGGCGGCGGAGGCTCGCGGCAGTGGGAGGACGAGTGGAGTGGCGCTGCGGCGGCGATGGCTGGTGGTGAGCTCCGATCGGGGCGCAGTGGAACGGGGACAACGAGCCAAGGAGGACGATGGCAATACAAATTTCCCTCCGCCTCCGAACCCCACCGCATACATGCTGCGCCATCCTGTTGCGGCGCCAGTGGGATGACGACGGGGAGCGGCGCTGAGGAGGCCGCCGGCGGCAAGCTTCATGGCTAGTGAGTTGGGAGGAGGAAGGAGAGCCTGGAGCAGGGGGCGGCATCCTCCTCGCCCGCCGCTTCGCCCCACTTCGGTCGATGGGAGAGGAGTCGGAGGTGGCGACGTCGGCGGCGAGGTCGACAGCGACACCGACGCAGCCTTGGGAGCAGCAGGTGCGCCAGCCTGCCCCCGTCACCGTCGTCCCCATCACAGCCGGCCCCGCCGCCCTAGAGCTTCCTCGCCGAGCTTCGTCCCGCTGCCGCCTCTCTCTCACCACCCCTTCATCTCTTCCCCCCGATCCCCAATCCTGCGGCGGCGGCGGATACCCCTACCTGCCGGCGCGCCGAGGGGAAAGCTGCACGAGGTGGTGTTGGAGGAGGAGGAGGCGAGCTCCACCGCCTCCGTCGAGTCCCGCTTTGTCCAGCCCACGAAGCTGGGTCCGAGCCTCGGCGTGCTTGCCGCCTCCTCGGGATTCTTCATCGGCGCAGGCGGCGCCGACACCAACAATGGCGAGAACCGGAGCAGCAGCAGCAGCCAGCAGATCCTCCATCGCCGCGAGCGCCCCGCGCCGGCACGACTCCTGGCCCTTCGCCGCGGCGGCAGGTGGTGATGCGGTCGGTCTAAGGGGAGAGAAATTAAGAGAGAGAGAGAGAAGGCAGAGAGCGAGGAGGAAGGAATGAGGAGAGGATGACATGGGGTCCCACGTGTCAGGAGCCCACATTTTTTTTTGTGTGGATGACAAATAGGTCCCACATCATGTTTTTAACTCTAATGCAACCTAAGCATCACGTCATCGTCACAAACCAAGTCAACACTGCCACGTAGACGTCACGTCAGCGAAACCGCTCTTCAAAACCGTCGAGGGAGTTAAATTGCACCGGTTTTAAGAGTTGGAGGGTAAGATATCCGGTTTTGTGGTTTAGATGACAGATTATATTCTGAGGGTCACCAAGTGAACTTATTCCCTCGCGTGCGCCGCGGCGGCGGCAGCAGCAGAAGCAGCTCGGATCCCTCCTGCAATGGCGACCGCGTGCCCGCCGCTGTCGCTGCAGCCGGCCTACCTCCCGGGGAGGTCCGCACGCGCGCGCCGCCCGCTGCCCGCCGTCCGCTGCAGCGCCGTCGGAGGTCAGCGCCTGCGTAAATCCACTGTATCGTTTGTTTGTTTGCACCAGCTTGAGGCGGAGTTTGATTGGTGATGGGTTGGGGATGGTCTCGCTCCGGGGGGTGGTTGTGTTTTTCAGAGGTTATGGCGGAAACGGCGGCGGTCGGGACGGTGGAGGAGCCGCTGCTGGTGAGCGCGATCGAAGGGGAGGAAGGTCGAGAGACCGCCGGTCTGGCTTATGAGGCAGGCCGGGAGGTACATGAAGGCAGGTTTACTCTAATTCTTCTTTTTTTCTCCCGCATTGCAGAGTAATTTGCATCCATATGTGCAATTAGAGGATCCAATTTGCTTGCAATTGTTATCGTGTTTCAAGTAAGATGTAAGATGTGGATCAAGATGCGGTAACTGCTAGAAATTCACAAACATCAACTTCCTGAAAAAATATACACGCAAACTTAGTGGCCATTCATAAGCTATCATATTATTGCTGCTTACTGGAACCTCCCTTATGCACAATTTTTTTTCTTGTACAGTCATGTTCATAGATTTGTTTTTTATGGGATAGAGGGAGTACTTAATAGCAAGCTCTAGTTGTTTGAATCGTGGCAGATGCCTCTTCTTTGAAGTAATACTTTGCTTTCGTGTTGCAATAATCCTATCAATCAGGACCCTTTTTCCTTATAAACTTCCTGCCGTGGTGATTTTTTTCAACAGAGCTATCAATTGCTCTGCGAGCGACATCCTTCATTCTGTGAAAGATCAGAACTTGTTGACCTTGTTGTTGAAATCTCTCTACAACCATGGAAGGTTTTCACGCCCGATGGAGTAAGCTGCAGATTTTGGCCCTTTCTGTATGTTGTTTTTAATTCCTCTTTTGTGGCTATCTAAGAAGCTTTTGCATGAAAAAAAGAAGCTTACGTAGATTTGAGATGTTGTTTTCCTATAATATCTAATGTTCTGTTATTGATGCTATTTCGTCTGATGCTGTTGTTTTTCATTTGATTTTGCCAGGCTATCCTGTTCTCAGATATCCTTACACCGCTTCCTCGGATGAACATACCTTTTGACATTGTGAAAGGAAAAGGTTCAGTGATATTTGATCCCTTGAGAACAGCAGCTGCTGTGAATGAGGTCAGAGAATTTGTTCCAGAGGAGTGGGTCCCGTATGTTGGGCAGGCTTTAAACATTTTGCGAGAAGAGGTTAGTACGACTTTCAGCATCCAAATATGGAGATTGGAAATAGATGGTCTGTTTGAGAGCATTGAATCGTAGAAGTAGCTGATCATTTATTTTCACTTTCTTTGTCAGCCTACACTCTAATTGATTAATTACCTTACAATGCTGATTTTTTGTCCTGTTTTCTCAAAACGGCATCACTTGGAGTTTGTCAGGTCAATATTGTAGATTAATCAAAACATGGCAATGTAATCACTGAAGCTTACAAAAGGGCTTATAGCTTAGTGGTTACAGTGCTCGAGCTTTAGGTCCTCGGCTCGACTCCCCACTGGAGCGAATTTCAGGCCTAGTTAAAAAAAGTCACTCGTTGGCCCCTCACAAAAACCCGTATTAAGAATCAACCTACGAAGGCAGGCCCTCATGTAGGAGGCATGGACCTCAAAGGACGGATTAAGGAGCGATCCATAGGGGGTGAATCTATGAGTGTAGGACTAGGGTTTGTGGCTTTTCTCGGTCAGTTTACTTGGGGCTTCTTCTTCTTAATGAAAAAGACTTGGGGAAAGTCATTCACTCATTCCCCTGTCGGTTGTGTTGAAGCTTGGAAGCTCATTTCCGTTCTTTTGGATTGTCTTCATGGCTTCACTGTTACTTGAAATTTGACATTTTATTGAAAAACTATATTTCTTTTTCTGATCCTTGATGTATTCATTCATGTGGTTAGCATCAAACTATTAGTCCATTACTGACTTTTAGATTTAGGGCTGATATATTCTGGAGAGTGGAGAGTGCAGGCCATCTTGCATAGAGTTAGAGGCTATAGCACAGCTGAAATTCCATGCCTCTATGACAACAGTGTTCCTCCATATTTTTGTTCTACGAGATATGAACTGCATACAATTTGAGGAGGTGGTGGTGGAGAGGGATGCCATTAGCAATTGAACAATTGTAATGCTTTTTCAAAGCACTTCCATTGTACTACTGTTGGATTTGGCGGCCCTGTGTACACAAAGTGAACAGTTGTCTGCAGTACAGTTGTAACTACTACCTCTGTCCCAGTTTAAGTGCAGTTGTGGATTTTCATGTTCAACGTTTGACCGTCCGTTTTATTTTAAAATTTTATGAAAAAAATAAAAAAAGTAACACATAAAGTATTATTCATGTTTCGAATAAAAATACTAATCATTTTTTTTTCAAATAATACGGGCGGTTAAATGTTGGACATAAATAGTGCAAAACTACGGTCTTTCTGGGACGGAGGTAGTAAGTTATTTAGTCAACTTGCAGAATTCCATAGACATATAGTCAACTAGAATCTATGATCATTCTTTGTGCTTTGTTTTTTGTTCATTTCAGGGGAGTGACACCCACTGTTTCCTTCTCAGATTAACAATGAAGCTACCGTGTTGAGTTTTGTTGGAGCTCCCTTTACGTTGGCATCCTATTGTGTTGAAGGAGGTTCATCAAAGAATTTTTCAAAGATTAAAAAAATGGCCTTGTCGGAACCAGAGGTATTGGACACAATCATATTGCTGATAAAAGAGTACATGAATTCTCTTTCACTATAGACAACTGTCTGTTGCTTCCTGACTGCTGCTTGTGTTCTTTTATATTGCCCTTCTTCCAATCGGATGGGCTACAGTGGGCTATTAGCTTCAGCCCAAGGCCCAGCAACATGAGTTACTACCAATTAATTACCAAGCTGACAATGGAGCACAAAGCTGTCCAAATTTTTGACTCATGGGCTACAAAACTCTGCCCGGTTGATTTTGAGTAATTTAGCTTGCCTTATCTGAAGCAGATTGTGGATAGTGTCAAAGAAACACATCCTGAATTGCCTCTGATATTATATGCAAGTGGATCTGGTGGACTGCTGGAGAGGCTTCCATTGACAGGTGTTGATGTTGTTAGCTTGGGGACGGTTGATATGGCTGAGGGGAGGAAAAGATTGGGATCTAACATAGCGGTTCAAGGGAATGTTGACCCTGGCGTTCTTTTTGGGTCCAAAGAGTTCATAAGCAACCGGATTTTTCACACTGCAGAAAGCTGGTAATAGTGGGCATGTATTGAACCTTGGCCATGGCACTAAGGTGGGCAAAAGGGATCAGATACTGAAACACCTAGGCTATTCGATGCATTCCTTTCTCCCTAGTCTCCACCGGCAAAAGTAGTAGATTCTGCTGCTTGAGGATAGATGAAGGAAGCCATATCTAGCGTAGAATACCTGAAGAGCACATCTTTTGTGATTTCTGTGTTTTGCTATCATTTTTTTTATCTTATTGTTAGTCTTGTAAGGTTATCACTTGAGGTGTAAGAAAGTGCCTACTTGTTTATATCAAGTATATATTCTAATTTCTAATCTTATCTGTAACCATGAGATTATAAATTTTTATTGGCGAGAAATAAATATTATATTTGAAAATGTGTTTTTTTTCTTTTTAAAAAAGCAGGTTGTAAGGTAACCCTCTTTTCTTGTTTTCGTTCTTCTGGCTAATTTTTATCTGTCCAATTTCTCCTGAAAAAAGATTGTTGTTAGCTCGTGAAGCTAGGCTACACGATTGACCTGATTAACTATAGTAGTCCATGCAATTTCCATTTTCTTTCATTGCCTTTCATTTGCTCTATAGTTCCAGTTATCCAACAGAAAGGGCTATGGATTTTCCATCACTGCGATTGACAACTCATTGAATTATATTGTTCATCAGTTCATGCTTAGCCTAATGCTGCTCAGTGCTCAATTAATTTTGGGCTTTACTTTGGCCGTGTTTATTTCACTCCCAACTTCCAACTTTTCATCACATCACATCACCTCCAAAACTTTCTTACCCACATAAACTTCCAAATTTTTTTCTAGACTACCAACTTTTCTTAAACTTTAAACTATTTTAAGGAACTAAACACAGCCTTTGGTGATACTGAGATGCAGGTGAAACGTCTGTTTCGCATTAGGCTGCGCTCGGCACTCTGGGTTCAGATCCTTTCTTTCGGGGATGCATTGCTATCCATACATAATACAAAAAAAAAAAAAAGAACTCATAGTTACAGTAGTAACTATTGTCATTCTACTAGTAGCCTATGTGATTTGAAAGGAACGAAACAATAAACTGTTCAATGGCGAAGCGAATGCAAGGTAACGCGCTTTGCATATAAAAAAAAATAGTTACACCGGTAAGCCTTTATAGTCTGGCTGAAAATCCAATGGAAATCGTCAAGTTACAGAAACATCATGCACATATTTACCATGATGTGTATAAACAGTGTAATTACAACCAAACGCATGATACCATAGTTCAATTCTTGCTTGTCTTTTCACTACAAGGCGTCTGAGTGATGGATTGTTGATCAACTAAATTAAGTACTATAAACACGCAGGACTCAGGATTGCACGAGCCTGCTCCTGTTAGGATAAGCTCAGATCAGCCTGAGAGCACAAAGGTCAAGCGAGAGCCAGCATTCTTTAGAGAAAAAGTGAAGACTAAACGATGTGAACCATCGTCTACAGTAATGACTAATGAGCACGGGTGCCAATTCTGGTAGGATAAGCTCTTGTTTTGCTTTTCATATTTTAGTCAGGTTATTATCTCAGCAACTTTGGTGGCACCCCGTTCAAGAATAGTTGCCTTCTATTTTAATTGAATATTTGCTTATTTTTTTTAAGTCGCACTACTTGCTTCGGATGAAAGCACTGACAATATTAAGTAATCATGTAAGAAGTGAGCATAACTTAACTGGTTAGATTTCTTACGGTGAAATCAGTCCACCCAAATTCAAATCATAGATTTGACATGGATGTTCATATTTACGGGTAATTATTCTTCCAGTGGGAGGCGACGTACCCGTTGACTTTATTAATTTTAAGATATGTCGGTCCAATTAATGTTTCGGGGGTGCTCATAAGAATAGGGTATGCGTATGTGTTTATAGAGGTAATGTTTCGGAGGTGCTCATAAGAATATGGTATGCGTATGTGTTTATATGGTGATTTTGTCAATCTCAAGATATGTCGACCCAATCTTTCAGGGTGACTTCATCAATTACAAGATATGCCGGTCCAATCTTTCGGAAGTGCTTATAGAGGTAAGGTGTACGTATGTGTTCATAGTAGCGAGTGTAAGCGCATTGTGATGATGTGATCGCTAACATTTATATTGTATTTCTTAAAAAAAACTGTATTATGTAATCGGGTGAATATTTTTTTAATATGTGCAGGACAGCATCAATACTATTAACTATTTTAGCTTAGACCAGTTTGGCACGGCTGTATTTCTTGATAAGCATCATACTCCATTAGTCAAGTATTAAGTCTACCGAGATGTACTTCTAACACCATTCTTATTTCAGCAAGGAAATTAATAAAAGTGCAAATTGAAAACAGCAGAGTCATGCTCGGCTCCTTGCCATGCTTATCCTTGACTCTGTATTTGTTCTTGTTGATAACAACTGATCAATTTATATTTAGGCCTTGGTTTGTTCTTGTTGTTGTTAGCGTTGGAGCCGAGGACCAAATTAATTGTTTTATGCCAGGCTGAAATCTTGATGCCTATCTGCATTTACAAAGGTGAAGCGATGCCTATACAACGTAAAGCAGAGAAGATATTTATCAGCTGGATTGCAAATTGGAGGGGTGATTTAGACAGGTGACATTCGAAAAAGAAACTCCAAGTTGTGTCAAACTTTGTTAGGTCCCATTTTGATTCTCTGTGTCTAGTGCGTGCTTAGCTATGAGCCTATGTGGATCAGTAAGTCCTTGCTGGAGAAAATGACATGGTCATTTTTAATCATCTGCCAGGCAGGCCAACTCGATCTACTTCACTGACGAACGTGAAAGCCTAAATAGGAGTAGTATGATGTAGTCTGAAACATTGCAGCATATCGTTTACCTTTTCTTGGTGGTTTAAGTTTTAAAATGAAATCTGGTTTAGTGCTCCTTATAACCGCAGGATTTTAAAAGAAAAAAACAAAGGATTTTAACAGCAATCACTTGATTTTGTGTTTCTTTTTTCTTTCTAAACGATAAAACTCATTACTGTGTCGGCTGGTAAAGGTCGAAGATATAGTTAGGGCTGTGTTCGGCACCCTTTATTGCTAACCCCTCTTCTTCGTTATCCGCACGTACACTTTTCAAATTGCTAAACGGCGTGTTTTTTAAAAAAGTTTCTATATGAAAGAAAGTTGCTTAAAAAATCAAATTAATCTATTTTTGAAAAAAAAGCTAATACTTAATTAATCACGCGCTAATGGACCGCTCCGTTTTAAGAGCCTGTTTGGTACAGCTCCAACTCCTAAATTTAGCTCTAGGAGTTAAGTTTGGAGTGGAGTTGCCTAAACTCAGCTCTACAACTCTAGTTCATTTTGTGAGAGAGCTCCACCCAGCTCTACTCTCAGTTTTAGTGGAGCTGAAATTGTTTGGCTGAGCTCCAGAGCTGCTGGAGCTGTGCCAAACAGGCCCTAAGTGCTATTATTATCTTTAAAGAAAAAACGTCGAAACCCATTCGTTCTGTAGGTGGAGCCTGCGAAAGCGCCGTTCCGCATCGGAGACAGCAAAACACCTCGCCCCGGATAGCCGGAGAACCACCAGTGCGGTCCGCTCCGGTCATCGGCATCGCCATGAAGCGGCTCCTCGTGCCTCCGAAGAGCCTCGTATGATCGTATCATACCTTTTCCAGCTGCTCCAGTGTACTCCGTCCCTCGTAGCACCGCGCGACGGCACACGACAGCGACCGCGCGCGCGCGGCTCAATATCTTCCCCTCCACGGAAACATCGGAGATTTTTCTTCTCCCACCCCGTTTAATTTCGTCCTTCCGAGGAGAAACGCCACAGCGCCCCCCGGTCGACCGCGACGCGCCCACCCCACCCCGCCACCAGCCGCACGCCCGCACCCGCGACGCGCGCATACGCCGATACGAAACGCCAAGCTGCAGCTGCAACTGCAAGCCGCTCGATCGCGTGCCCGCGCGCCCGCCCGTCGAGAGCAGCGTCGCTGTCGAGCTGAAAAAATCTCGGACGCCGAACGCTCACGCGCCCGCGGCCTGCCCGGGGTTAATTTGATGCGGACGTGTTACGTATGTGTATTGGGTTTACTCCCGTGTCACCGCGCGCGCTTTTTTTTATCGAACAATTCCCTTTCTTTTATACCACTAGATAATAGATAATAAAAGTGGATTATATCTTAACCGATGATCACACAGCCAATAAGTCTCATCTCAGAAGTAAAAAAAAATGTAACTTCCACTTATAAAAGAATCAACTGAAATAGTAACGTTTTTAAAATTACGTAGAATCTTGGCATGAAATTCTGCACGTACTACTCATCCAAACTATTCGGCGTACAGCTTTCGCCATCTTTTTCCCTTCTTTTCGTGGAGCCGTGGCAGGCAGAGGCACCGTACGTGCGTCACTCTGCAGCTCTGCTTATCGTGATCGCCTTCCTCCGTTTCGCGTGTCTATCGTCGTCCACGCCAACGGGATGGGCTATGGCTTATCTCGTCAGATCATCTCTATCCGTTCGGTGCACGCCCGTACAAAAATCAGCACTGCTTTTGTACAAGTACATACAGCATATTCTATCACGAGCATATAGGACTAGGAGTATATAGACTTTTTATTTTTGCGAGTTAAACTCGTTAATGATTGTTTCCTCGTATAAGTACGCTGATTGATCCGGCATGCCAGTACAGTTCTGAAAGGAACCGATCAATCGATTGGTTGATTAAGCTCTAGGCAACGAATTAAAGCTAGAGTTTTTGCTAGGTAACCAAGAAGCAGTTCCTTGATGGGAACATGTAATAGTATTGCTGATGCGGACTACTCGATGGCCCATGCTCACAGCAGACGCTTTAGCGTTTATTGTTGTCATGCAGTGGTGCGCAGATGCAGGAAGAAACTGGGGTGTGTGTGCTCTGTTGGAGCATTCATTGCCACGTCACTGGCCGCAGATATTTACAAAGTATCCCACTTTAATAGCTGCAGATATTTACGACGTGTCCCGCTTTAATAAAGAGACACCCAATTTATGTGGAACCGTACTTAAATATGATACAAATGCATACTATTATTGGTGAGAAACCTCAATACGAAATGTTTTATGGGACGAAGGAAGTACATTTATAATATGTGCATACTCACTCTATCAGCTAGGTTGATTACCAATGAAATAATAATTAGTTATAAATATGTATAGATGTTTTCAATAATCATCCCGTTCGACGTGAGTGTATTTATGATACGAATCTGCACATTCGATATACATAACAGTGTTTATAGAATATTTCATATACTTATATACTATATGTTTTTCCATGATGTTGGAAGAAATTACATTAGAAAAAAAATGAATAATCGAAGTATATATTTGACCAGACTAATCCTGTGACATTTTTCTTATATTGTCTGCATACTCTAAAATGTCCAAAGCAATATCGTCGTTGATATTTATGGGAATACTTTGATTTTTTTTCTTAAAAAAGATAAAGCTTCGTAGATCCTGACGAACAAATAGTTATGTTGTAAGTACATTTGACATATAAAAATACACGATAAAAATTGCTATAAGACACTTAAGACTTGTGTTATTTACTACAGGACGCCAATAACGTATTTCTGTTGGAGAATACTACAAAAAGTAGCAATCGAATGTTGGATATCCGCGATACTATTTTATTATGGATTATAGACGGATCCTTCACTATAGACAAGTTTGCATATGGATCAATTGCTTTTAACCCGAAATGGTTAGAGATTAGCTGTCATGTGTGTGGGTTATTCAGAGATGTGGATTTAACTGTAATCATTAACCGATGGAGACAAAGACAAATTCGTATTTTTACCACTATTTCTCTCTCCATTTCTTCCGGATATAGTAAAATAATACCGTGGATGTCCAATGGCTAATTGTCATTTCTTTTTGAGTTAATTTCACTTTAGGCCATGTTTTATTGCTAAAGTTTCACTTTAGACTACCCTTTGTACAATCTTTTCACTTTGGACTAGGCAATTTTACCTTTGTTGCACAATGAACCACCCCAAACTACATCTTCTGTTTTTCGATGACTTCAAGCAAATTGTTAACGACATGCCAGCAAATTTTCATACCTAAATGCTTGCCATACCTTTGTCAAAAGAGACGCTAGACATCACTAGCGAAAAGAGTTAGGGTGGTCTGTCGGTGACATGGGACCGGGAGTATCATGACTAGAGGCTTGGGCAGCCGCGATCACCCACGTGGCCCGACCCCCTCGGGGGGGTCGGGCCCGAGGGTGATGTGGCCGCCCCTCCCTTTGTCTCCCCGAGGGGTCGGACTGCTCCCGTTTCGACCCCGAGGGCCGGGGCGCCCCGACCCCCTGTGGGTTTGGCGCCACGTATATGGGTTAGGTGAGCACAGCGGGGCTCACCTAACCGCATTTATTGCGGGTTGGACGAGCGCGTCACGCCGCATGTAATGCAGCGCAGCGCGCTCGTTTATCCGGTCCGTGACCGGGCGCAGCGTGTGACCGGTCACAGACCGGTCAGATCGCGGGTTAGGTGGTGGCAGGTGGCCTGTTACACGCCTCGCCCCGTCCCGTCGGATTGATGAGAGCCTCCAGGCACTTGTCCCTAGCCGGAGACGGCGTGCCAGCTCCTGAAGATGGCACGTCGGTCCCGGTCAGATATATGCCAGGCTTCATCCCAACCATTGCAAGGAAGTCATTGTATGAAGAAGGGCAGACATGCAGCTTGCTAAACTGACGCGTGGTGGACGAGAGTGACCGGTCTGTGACTGGTCTGACGCCTGTCATGTCATCGGCAAACAACCGTGCTTCCACGTTGCACCTGCTTCCGACGGAGTGGAGGTTGGTATGACCCATCCCATCGGAGGGTCATTCAAACAGCAGCCATTGCAAATCTCCGCCCATTAATGAGGGAGGACAGGGCTATCCCGGTGTCAGGTAAAAGTACGAGCCAAATCTTGTTCAAAGTAGGATGGGTCCCCACCCAAAAGAAGGGTAGGTAGAAATGGTATATGTGGTATCCCCTTGAGATATAAAAGGAGGACCATGCCTACCAAGAAAAGGGAAGAAAAAAAGAGAAAGAAGGAGAGAGGGGAGCTCATAGAAAGGACGGGGAAAAAGAGTAGGGAGAGGGTCTCTAGAGTTGAAAGGCTCTTGCTCTTCAGCTCTTTGTAACTCCTTCAGAGACAGATCCGCCAGAACACAGGAGTAGGGTATTACGCTTCTCAGCGGCCCGAACCTGTCTACATCGCCCGTGTCTTGCGCGTTTGCTCTCTCGCGAACCATTCCACAGATCAAGGGCTTAGAACCTCACTTAGCGCCCCCGGCCGAACCGGCAAAGGGGGACCCGCGCGGTCTCCCGGTGAGGAGCCCCACGCTCCGTTCCATTATGCAACAAAGGTAAAGCTATCTAGTCTAAAGTGAAAAAAACGTGTACAGGGTGGTCCAAAGTGAAACTTTAGCGATAAAACATGGCCTAAAATGCAATTCACTCTTTTTTTCAAATGCTGAAACACGTCTTGAAGTCCTATCCAGCAAAAAAGGTAAACTTTGGATGTCCAATAGCATTTTTTGCCAAAATACTTTTACTAGATTTATATTTGAAATACGTTTTACGAGCAAATAATTGTTAAAATATAATCTTATGTTATATTTTAAACAAGTGATATCATTATTCAATCTATTTTTAAAAAGTTCATGTCGTTTAGAGTAACGAACAATGACCAACGTTTAGTTTGCCGAACGAATCTGATGGTATTGTACTTAACGATGGAGCTTGTTTCACAGTTATAGCATGCAAGATCTGAATATCTGATAGATTCAGCTTTCATTTGCGGCGGGCTGGAGGCACCACCCAAAAATATCCTGGAGCATTCTGCACAGCCGGCAGCAGCTAGTGGGCAGATCCATGAGCTGTTGCTGCAAATCCTCGCTATTCTTTCCGAAAGAACGGATATTGCAGGCAGCGCCACTAGAATAGTGGAAAATGGAACCAAACCCAAAGCAGGTTGAGGCCGTGTTTAGTTCCCCAAATTTCTAACTTTCCATCACATCGAAAATTTACCTATACACATAAAATACCAACTTTTTTTTCAAACTACTAACTTTCTCTCAACTTCGTAACTTTTCCACCATAAATACAGCCTGAATTGTTTATTTCGCCCGCACTGGACTGCACGCTAACTCTCTAGTTTGTTTGTCACTAGCCCGCCTGTTGTGGGGCCCACATGTCTGGTACACTGTGAGAGCAGTCTCGTTGGTGGCAAGATCCCATCGGCTCTCGGCGCCTATAAATTGCACCTCCTCGGCTGGAGAGCATCGTTTTTGGTGGCTCCTGATTCGTTTCCTCCGTCTCACTCCTACTCCTCGGCTGCCCCCATTCTTCTCTGGATATTTTTCTTTTTCATCTTCTTTGAGTTGGAGGGCTTGATTTTAGGGGGGACTGCTCGATCGGCAGGGTTAATTCCGATCTCTTTAACCTTCCCGGATCAGAGCCGGGATCAGGTACCGATTCTGCCACTCACATCCGAGTTCTTCTTCGTTTTGATCTGTTTCTTTTTTACTCGTATGAAGATGGAAGATTTACTACCCTAGGAAGAACTGTGGTTTAGTGAGCAGTTAATTAGGAATCTAATCCTTGGTCATGATGTAGAACACGGTTACACGGGTGTGCTCTGTTACTCTGTAGTAGCAGTTCTTTCTTAGACTTATTAAAAGGTTTAGTGGCATGGGTTCGTCAGTAACCTTTCTTTAGAGGGTTATTAAACATGTATTTTGCTTGTCCTTGGGCATATGATTTGAGGACTTTGTTGATTTCTATCTTCTGCCGGAGTGAGTGGTGTTTAGTTGGTCCCGTCATGATTCTGAACTGACCTAGCGCTAATATCCTTTCATTTCATTTATAGGATTGTTATACTGTTCCTTTTTAGAATTTTCTTAGGAAGAATTTCGTTGATTTTTTTTTTGTAGAATGTAGACATAGTGACTTTTGTAGAATCTGGCTAGCACCAGACGAAGAGAATCATACTATGTGGGACTCTGGAAGAATTTATCCAAATGTTTCCTTTTGCTTTGGAAGGAAACAGATTTGCTCTTTACATTCTCGTGAAAACAACAAAATATTAACATACATGGAAAGATTTCTTTTGTTAGTTATAATGCAGTACTATTAATTCACTATTCAGTAATGTGTACCTTACCATTTATTTCATTTTATTGGCAGTATTAGGCTTTTTGCTAGAAGCACAAAACAAAAGGAATGCTGGAAGATGTGCTTCTATGATAGAGAGCTACCTTGTGTGGGAATTGGAAAGGTAGCTCAAAATATTTATGCTTTGTGTGCTCTTGATGATAGTGAAGTACGGGTTTATGCACAGCAAGTGCTCCTTGTGCATTTGCACGATGGGGCTAGATGTGGCAGTTCAACCATCATGTTAGATTACCATCTTGTTGGGGACGGTTGAAATTATTTTTCATTTATTGCCTCTCTCATCTGATACTCCCTCATCAATCATCATCACTAAGTTACATGATTAGTGCTTTCTGAATACATAAGGCATTTGATAAGATGGTAGAACAAAAGGGGAATATTTTGATGAAGAGATATGAGATAGGAAAATTACTTGGGCAAGGAAGTTTCGCTAAAGTTTACCATGGCCGTAATATTAAGAATTCACAAAGTGTTGCAATCAAGGTGATTGACAAAGAAAAGATATTGAAATGTGAGCTTATGGATCAAATAAGAAGAGAGATTTCAGTGATGAACCTAGTAAGACATCCGTGCATTGTTCAATTGTATGAGGTGATGGCTACCAAAACTAAGATATATTTTATCCTAGAGTATGTGAAAGGGGGAGAGTTATTCAACAAGGTTCGACGTGGAAGACTAAAGGAAGAAGTTGCACGGAAGTACTTTCAGCAGTTAATTAGTGCTATTGACTTTTGTCATAGCAGAGGGGTTTATCATCGTGATCTAAAGCCAGAAAACCTTCTTCTTGATGAAAATCGAAATTTGAAAATCTCAGACTTTGGTTTGAGTGCACTTGCAGAATGTAAGAGACAAGATGGGTTGCTCCACACAACTTGTGGAACTCCTGCATATGTTGCTCCAGAAGTGATTAACAGAAAAGGATATGATGGTGCAAAGGCTGACGTATGGGCTTGTGGAGTGATTCTTTATGTACTATTGGCTGGTTATCTCCCATTTCAAGATAAAAATGTGATAAACATGTATAAGAAGATATGCAAAGCGGAATTCAAATGGCCAAGTTGGTTTTCTTCTGATATCCGAAAGCTTTTGCGACGTATTCTTGATCCAAACCCTGCGACACGGATCTCAGTTTCAGAAATTATGGAAGATCCTTGGTTTAGAGTAGGTCTTAATTCAGATCTACTTAACAAGACCATACCAACAGATAAAGTTGATAAAGTTGTGCATGTTGACATGGATTCAACATTTGGTAATTTAAGCAACAATATAAATGAAGGAAAACAAGAAGCAGAAAATCTTACTAGCTTGAATGCTTTTGATATTATTTCTCTTTCATCAGGATTTGATCTTTCTGCTATGTTTGAAGATGAAAACAGCAAAGAGGAATCAAAATTTACATCCACTAACACAGCTACGACAATCACCAAAAAGCTTGAGGATGTTGCGAAGAATTTACGATTAAAATTCTTGAAGAAAAATGGTGGTTTGTTAAAGATGGAAGGATCAAAACCTGGAAGGAAAGGTGTAATGTCCATCAATGCTGAAATATTTCAGATCACACCAGATTTTCATTTAGTGGAATTTACGAAGATAAATGGTGATACACTTGAGTATCAAAAGGTCAAACAAGAGATGAGACCAGCACTAAAGGATATTGTATGGGCTTGGCAAGGTGAGCAGCCACAACCACAATCATTGAACGAACAGTCTTAATGTTAAATATTTTGACAAGTGAAATGACAGTAGAGATTGTGGCAATGTGTTGATGTGTTGTATGTGCTATTAGTAATCAATAATGTACTTTTCTAAAAAAGTTTGTCATTTGATTTTTCATTATCATGTGTTCAGTATGAAACGATAATTGTATTGACCATTTAATTGAAAACATGTTTTATTCACTTTGCCATGTGTTCTAAAATAAGTATGGAAGTCACTAAAATAAAAGCTTGAGTATTTAGAGTTTGGGTTATATAGAAATCATAGGTGAACTTTTGTATCAGTACAAATTGTATTCTTTTTGTTTGAGTCTAATCTCTTTGCTACAATATTAGCTATAGCTGTAATGACACTGACAAATATCATAGTCCGTTCAGTAATCATATTTTGAGGAAATTTTTATAAATCTCCTTTGGATGGCTAAAGATGACCTATGGTTTTTTTTCCTTGGGATATTTCTTTTCCATTACTTACATTAGAATAAACCTAGACAGTATGTCTATATTCCAAATAATATATGTATGGGACAAGTTATTAACCTTGGTGCTGAAATAATTAGAATGGTGCTAAATTATTGATAATCCACATTTTGCTATGGTTGCTTTTAAATTCAAGCTGGCAAGCATAATTCATGCTGCAAATATATTTATCCCGAAATAGGTGATATAATATAATACTACACTACGCTATACACAAAATCTAGTTGTCAGATTGGACAATCACCAACATAACCAATGATTTGTATGTTTCATTTTGTTCCCCCTCTTTCAATCGATGTTGTGGCCAGCCGTTTGTTCCAATCTTACAAACTGATGCTGCATTTAACTATTGATTTCACTGAGCTAAACTGATGCAAGGCTAGACCCATAGGCAAGGAATGACTATTGAAATGTGATTGATTCATATGCAAGGTTGAAGCTTCATCGAAATGCCAAACAAATACTGAATGCCAAACAATGGGCGATTCAAGCAGTCTGATGTACTACCTCCGTCCTAAAATAAGTGCAGTCGTAGATATTTGTGCTCAACGTTTGACCGTCCGTCTTATTTAAAAAATTTGTGAAAAATTTGAAAATATTTAGTCACACATAAAGTACTATTCATGTTTTATCATCTAATAGCAATAAAAATACTAATTATAAAAAAAAATAAATAAGACGAACGGTCAAACGTTGAACGTGAATAGTGCAAAACTGTACTTATTTTGGGACGGAGGGAGTATTACGGTACACCATTTGTTTCAGCATTTCATTCTGCTAGCGACGAGGAACACTCTAGAAGTATCTAGAATTTTACAGCTTGCTGAAATTACAAGCTACTAATTCCTTCGAATCCCGGATCCATCTGTGTGTTACAGCCACTCGCCACCTTGATTAGTGGCGGGGGCAGAATGATTTGGGGGATTTAATGATATGCAAGTCAGCTGAAAATATCAAGCTTTTGATGGTGGTGGTTGCTGCTTAGCTAATTGACAATACATTTGTTGGTGCTCAAAAGTTGCAGCAAAAGCCAAGAAGAGGCATGTGTTGATGGGTGCTGCACTGGCCCAGGTCAGGTGAGCTACAGCAATCGGAAAATCCTCGGTTGCTGGCTGGAAAGATTTTTGTTGAGCTCGCCCTGTTGTCCATGGCTAAAAAGATGGTTGCAATTTCGGTTGGCTGGAGCAACTTGCTTCCTGATGTATGCCTCATAGTATAACCTTTGCTTCTCCGGTTTGTACCCAAAGATATTGTGTGCAGGCAAAAGCAAATGAGAGTAGCTGGTTAGAGTGTGTATGGTTTATCTTAACTGAATGGTCATTTTTCGTCGAGAAACTTAACCACTTGAAACCTTTCATTAACGAGACTGAACTCGACGTTTTCGGGCTTGACCGGGAATTGTCATGAGGTGGGAGAAAAAGGGGAAATTGAGAAAAAAAAAAGAACCCATAAAAATCTTGATTTATGAGATTGGACTCGATGGTTTCGGGATTGACCGGGCATTGGCATGAGGCGAAAAAAAAAATCGGGAAAAAGAAAAAACAACGTCGACAGCAGGGTTCGAACCTGCGCGGGCGTAGCCCAACAGATTTCAAGTCTGTCTCCTTAACTACTCGGACATATCGACAACTTGTATTTTTGCTAAGGACCACAAAATATAACCAATAGTAACTAGCACAAACCCAGTACACACACATCCTGAATGCCAATTTAATTTACACCATTGATTCCACGGAAAATTAGGTCAAGCTATAATACAGAAAGACATTAGAAAGGTTCTCAACATGGAAAGGTTTAAGAGGCACAGTGGAAATGATGGATAATTAAATCCATCGATTTAGATTACGAAATGATACAAGTACCACAACTAAAACTTGACTCTATAGTCCCTAATCAGCAGAGCGAACTGCAGCATAATACATCATACTAACCTAAACAGAACGTTGTACTACATAGGATTGAAAGGGGTCCGACAATTAGCTACTTGTCTGAACGGCAGATTGAACTGCAGCTAGCCAGCTACATAAATACAGCTAAAGTACAACTAAGATCGATCTCTTGTAGCAGATCAGAGGGATTCCCTCTTCTTCTTGTTCTTGGCTTGCTTCGCCAATAGAACTGAGAGCCCAGTCAATGCGAATTTCTTCCTCTTCCCTGAGACCCTCTTGCGAACAGCCGTCTCTTCTCTGGACAAAACTCTACCCCTGTTCAGAATCTGACCAAGGGAAACGTTCGGCATCTCGCTCGTTTTGTCGTCCCAGATGGTTTTGTCATACCCTTCAGGCCCCATCAGCTTCATGCTTAGTATCTGCCCAATTGACAACGTTTGCTTGCAGGAATTAGTTGAAGCATCAGAGATGATATCCATGCTGTGTGAATCTTTACGACGTTGAGCTGCATTCTTAAACTTTGGAGAGCCACCGATGGAGCGCCTCTTGTGCCCATTCTCAGATTTCCATCTGCGAAGAATCTCATCAACTGCAAGTTTCCCACGGTTTGCAGCTTCCACCCTCTTCAGGGCCTCTTGCAGTGCCCTCTTGCATTCCTCAACCTCTAATCGGGCATCATCTAACTTTTTAACTGAGTCAGTCTCTGAGCTGTTAGCTACATCTACCTGCAGCATGGCCTCTTCTACTTTCTTCCTCGAGTTTTCATCAGCCTCTTGAGCCTTCGAGCACAGTGTGAAATATTCTTCCGCTGAAAGAGTCACTCCATCACAAACAGAGCTGCCACATTCAGAAGAACTTTCACTGCTCAACAGAGCTTTGATCTCAGCAAGTGCAAGTGCTTCTGCTGCTCTAGCTGCTTCTTCCATCTTCTTGGCTGCAATGCATCTGATCTCTGCTGTGCCAATGCTAGCCTTCGTCTGCTCGATTTCTGCAGCCAGCATCATAGCCTCAGACTTTGAAGCATTAGCCATGCCCCTGAGCTGCTGTACCTCAGATGCCATTTTCTTGATCTCAATGAAAATGTCAGAGGGATCTTCACGTCTTGCCTGCAGATCTTTCAGGGTTTGCAACTTTTGTGTTGTCTGATCCAGCTCATCTTCCAAAGAAGAAGCCAGTGCAGTATTGGAAGAAAGCTTTTCCCGGCTTCTCTCAAGCAAAAGTTTCTCCTTTGCTATGCTATTGTGCAGTAATTCAATTGCAGCTCGTACTGCAGCCAGGTCACCTGTAGTTCTGTTTAGGTTTGCTTTTGCCTGCTCAAGTTCTAACAGTACTGAACCTGAAAGCGGTTGTGGATGTTCATCTAGGCCTTCCATATCCATATCAATGTTAACATTTTCAGGTTTCTGCTCTTCAGATTCTGTAATAGGAATTTCACTTTGGTCATCAGACTTCACAGCTGAAGGAGATGTTTCATTTGATTCCTTCTGTATTCTCTGTTTTAAGTCTGCTATGATTTTCTTGGTAGATTCCAATTCCTTTAACACATCAAGTGTCTCCTTTTCTTTGATGATAAGATCATGTTCTAGTTGTGCAGCCTGCTCTTTGATATCGACAGGCTGTTTACTTTCTTCAGATTGCTCCTGCAGGTGAGAATATATCGTCAATGGAAAGACAAATATTGAAGATTCAATAAGCTGCATACTACATCGGTCCCCAAATTACATGACACCAAGATAATAATAGAGGAATAAGTGTAACTAGAATCATATAAATGGGGAAAACAAATCTAACACTCAGGTTAAATTCTGACATGCCAAATGTGAACTCAAGTACTATAGTGTCACATAATTTGAAACTATTTCGAAGCAAAAACTACAGCTAGTTGATGTTTCTTTTTGCAACTTTTTATTTGTTCTCTCTGGACAATCGTTGCTGCTTTCAGCGCTTGCTTGCTTTACCAAAGCGGCTAGGCAGCTCTGAACTTTTACTTTGTCCAATTGTCCTACCATATGCTTCAAAGTTCAAAGTTACTAGGTTTAGCACGGATCAGTTTCGGTATGATGCAACATGCTTACCACTCAACCACTCATGCTTTGGCAAAGCAGGTGATAAAGACTCAATGCAAAGATCACTTTGAGCAGCCAGTTCGTAAGTGCTACTCCATTGGCTCCTTTACAAGAACAAAAACAGCAGCTATCCCAAACTATCCGTATCTACCATTTCAAATGAAACTAATTATCCAGTAATGAACCTATGAACATATTGACAAGATGATGCAAATGTACAGGCACGTGTATAGTAGAGCAGATCCATCATCCATGCTTGCCTTTAACTACTTGGGAGGCGTATAAATGGCAGGTGAGTTCAGGAGTAGCAATAATCAAGCAGCAATGCAGCTAGCATTAATCCAGCCATGAGCTATCCGCCTACCCTACCAATCCAGACACTGCTGCTGCTACTCAACTGTACGAAATTACGAATGCGAAGCTAAAATAGGGGTGGCAATCTACCAACATCCACCACCACCAACAACACTGCGGGCCACAGCGGAGCCATCAACGGGGACCATAGTCGCCATGGCTGGTCGAACGGAAGAAGAAGAAGAAGAAGAAGAAGAAAGAATGCGCGTGGTGACGTCACCTTGGGGTTGGGAGGGGCGAACATGCGCCTGATGAGGTGGGAGCTCCAGGCGGCGCTGCCGCCGAAGCGGTCGACGGCCTCCCGCACCGACTCGAACGGCGCCGACGTGTCGATCTCCGCCCTCCCGCCGCCGCCCACCGCCGCCGCGGCGCATTCCGCCTCGGCGCTCGCCATGGATGGAGGAGAGGGGAAGTGGGGGGGAATCCTCCGATCAAAAGACGGGGGATTTTTTCCCTGGGATTCTGCGCGGAGTGGAGTGGAGAGCGGAGAGTGTGGGTGTGGGTGGAGGCATGGGGACGAGGGAAAAAAAAAGAAGGCCGCGGCTTTAATAGCGAGGCGCGCGAGGGCGAGGCATTGACCCGTGGTCGGCTCATCAAGGAGCCGTTACATTTTGCAGTTCGCCGTTGAATCCTCACCCTTTTTTTTCCTTGGAAAAATACTGTAGTTTTGCAGTGCTTTATCAGAGTCTCACACTCTCTCGCAGTCTCGCTCCTTCCTACACATGCACATGTAGTACTCATGTTTCATCTGCATGACTGCATTACTACTTTCCTCCCAAAATAAATTTATTTTCCACATATCACAGCATGGATACAAAAATAAGGAGCCCATCGTTTGGCTTTTTTCGTAATAAGCCAAAACGGCTTATTAGAGAATAAAAATGAATTTATAGGTAAAACTTTTATATATGTGTTCTCGGTGACTTAAAAGCCAATGTTGAAAAAAAAAACTACGTTAAAAATATCTCAAAATCAATGTCAAATTTTAGTTTGAAAATTCAAAATTTGGCTTTTTCTTTAGCTGAATAGACCATCCGATGGGAGCCTAAAGTACTAAAATACCAATGTTGATAAAAAAATAAAATACTAGAATATCCTTTTGCTTTGTTTGTTTAATCTCTCTCACAATGGAGTTGAGAGGATTTACAACAATAGGTGTGTAATAAATCTTCTCCATTCCTCGTTTCTTGGAGATTAATCGAACAAGATCTTACTTTATCAAATCCTAATATAATTATTTATCATTTTATCTATTTCCAATATAATTAGCCTTTATTTTTACAAACTTAACTTTCATGTAACGATTACTTTTAAAATAAATTTATTTTAGGATGTATGGAAGAAGCTAAGAAAACTAAGGCCCTCTTTGTTTAGCCTTATAAGCCAACTTATAAGCAAAAAAGTTTAAGCCTAAACAAACAAACAGCTTTTTCGTTTGGCTTTTTTTGAAGCCATAAGTCACTCAAACACTATTAAGTCAAAAGCTAGGTTGGGGAAGTTTTTTTTGGCTTATATAAGATAGATGTATAACTCCACTATTAAACTTAGAACATTAAATCAATTAGCTTATAAATCATATAAGCGAATAAACTGACTTAAAAGTCTGAGCCAATAAGCCTAAAGTCCCATAAATATGAAACTCAAAATGGCTAACGGGCGGAGTGGGAAATTGCATCATCAACGGTCGAGGGAGGTTTGGTGGGGGCGGTGATGAGTGGCCGCAGTGACCGTGCGACGTTTCTGCTCCGCGAAGGCGCGCTGGGAAGGAATCCGAGAAAACGGCCGTTGCATTTGCGCAGCGCACGCACGAACGCACGCACGCAGGCGCGCGACACCCGCTGCAGAGGGCTGCGGGTGGAGCAAGCAAAGCGACCGGCTCCCATTATTATACGCGAATCACGAGGATCCAACCGGTCAGATCGATGGATGGCTGGATGCAGGCGCTGTTTGGTCCTGTCACTGTCTTTCTCCTCCCTTTGGCTGGCTATGCAGCGAGAGCG